CGCTAATAGGACTCTTACCCTATGCGGACTTTTGACCCCTTCTACTCTATTAGCAAAGACCATAGAGCAGGCACGTCAAACCGCGTCCGCACGAGCTTCTTAGCCACTTGAGGAGCCCGGCGCTTGTACGGGCGCGGGCAACTTCCCCTCACTCCGCACTCATTTCCCCTCACAATCCACAAAGGGGTGTACATGCGCAAGCTGGAGCGGTGCGAGTCGGTGAAAAGTGGCTTCATGCGAAAATAAGTTTTCCAGATTTTTTCTCTCAAATAACCGAGAACTGCATTAAGTTTATATTCTTCATTACCTATTTCATTTTTGTTTTCTTACTAAATTACCCCTTATACATGGTGGAACAACTAAGTGACAACATCCCTTGTATCTTCTCAACCATGGAAGAATTGAAGATGGCATTTGGACAGTCGTTTGCGTAAACAGGGGCTACTTGATTACAGTGTACTTCGTCTTTGAACAATTTTTTACTTTGAATAATAACCCCCGAAAGACCTGAACGGGTAGGAAATACATTTTTTTGTAATTTAAAAAACTTCGAAGATATAAGTTTTTCTATGTTTTTTTTTTTTAATTTTAATGGAACCCTATGCTAAATTTTAGTGAATCGTAATGGGCTTAAAAAGACGATTTGAAATATGTGTACATCTTTGTATTTTGCCGAAAATGGATTCTCCTGACCAACCAGACTGAACAGAATATCTGAACTGCGAGCGTTACTCATGAAATGAGTTGAAGAATCACATATTTAGTGGATTATAATACTGAGAATGAAAATGAAAGTTCTTTTATATATTTAATATTACGAATTAATTTTTAAATCGGTATTATTAACATAAAAACAGCGAAGGGGAAGGGTAGAAATAACTCACGAACGCTTCAATGCGAAAAGTTGAGCAATAATTTCCTAATTTCAGAATTTCTCCATATTTATTCAAATCATTGAAAAACAGAAATGGCTACAAAGTATACAATAGCTACGTAATTCCATTAAATAGTATTTTTAATTATTTCCTACAAGGGCATATTCGGGCTGCCCTTGAACCTAAGAAGGATATCTAATATTGATAATCCAAATGTACATTCTCCTTGGGATATTGGCTATGAGCTCATGATCTCTTTTGATAACGTACGCATGATATACTACGGTGTTTCTTTAGCAATTTATTTTGGTTTTTATCACATAAATATGTCTTACTTACACATTACATTATTTCTTCAGTTGAATCATATTCTGTTGAATCCTTCAAAAAAATGTAATCCATCGTAGAAAAGAGTTCAAGGTGGAATGTTTCAGTACGCAACCAATTGTTTGCAGGCGATAATGATCTATTGTAAAATATTGAGTTAATTTCAAACCTCCAAGTGTCACAATGTGAAGCAACAAATCTGGTAAAAGGTTTCAAATAGCATTTATCACATTGTCAAGAGCTGATTTGAATTTTATCTGGTGAGATGGCTAGTCAAGTAGCTGGTGTTCAGAGAGGGTAAATCTGAGCTAAAGAAAAAAAACAGCTCATTTGGGCAAAGTGTATCTTACAGTTATCATAATTCGACGGAGTGAATTAAATTTAAATAAAACCAACGCATCTGTTGATATTAACGGATATTATCAATCGAGAATCTCAAAGCTTCTAAACCTTTGTTCATGAAAGCTCTGCATACTTTTAAGAACACATTGAGATTTTCCCTACACTAATTAATTATATCTCTCTTCATTAATACGTAGAATATTCGGTGTGAATACGAATTAAAATGTAAATATTTTTTAATAAATTAATTCTACAATGCTTCATATATATATATATATATATATATATATATATATATATTTAATTTCTAATTATTTGTAGTTATTTTAATTGTAAAAATTTACACGTTATGAAAAAAATTTTCATAGATTTTAGCCAGCACACTTGATTCGAAATATTATATGTACCTCCTAGGTCCTTAAAACCAGGTTTTCGAATCTCGATAGGAATCAAGTTTTGAGGGAACAGGTGAGTTTATCAAGAACACTATATTTGGAGGATATGTGGGGATTAATGGGAGTCAGGTCAAAGATGAAGAAGAACAGGTTGGGCCTGAATTATGTTTTTTTTAAGAAGAATTCTACAAAATGAGTTATTTTCGAACGTTTTGCTTCAATTGAGATTTAATGATTTTTGTACTCCTCTTTGCTAACTTCGGTGTTCGGCAAAATCTCAGATACAAAAGATACGTGAAAATTAAATAAAAGGAAAAAGATCATAATAATACTAGTTCACAATAAAACGTACTGTTAGATTTTCTGGGCAATTTAATCTTAAAGCTTAGCAATATTACAATGGTTACTCTCGTACAGTAATGCTCGAGCATACGCTCGAGCTAACGTTTACCGATTGTCCGAATTATTATTATTATTATTATTATTATTATTATTATTATTTGTTTGATGTTTGTTTCTCTTATCTCTCTATCGATGTAATATCGATCTATGACATTCATCAACGCAGACCTCTGTGTCATTCCCAAAGATAGAAAACATTCAGTTTTTGTCCAGTAAGGCAGCGTTAGATTTCAAAGTAAATTTTTGAAAAATGTTACGAGCATCTGAGAATGTTATGGAGGGTATTAGAAAATAGATTTAGAATTATAAGAAGCCGAAACAAGATTTTTGTTACACATTAAAGTACAACTCATCAATGAGAAAGACATAGCGTGGATGGACATTTTATTCAACTTTCGACAAACATAATCTCTCATAGGAATAAATAATTCTTATAACCACCTCAGAAATAATACAAAAGTAAACCCCTTCATACACATTAATTTATTTCATCATAATTATTTGTTTCCGGGTTTGTAGGCCGTGGTCCAAAGGAGACTGGTCCATACGTTTCACCTGCAACTGTGGCAGGCATCATCAGTGGCGTTGCTGGAACAAAAACGCGAAAACATCTAATTAAAATGTAGAAATCGGCCGTGAAATCCTACATTGTATGTACGTTAATTTACTGTTTAGAGTATCCACGTGCTTCCAATACTACGGCCCATAGGTGAAGTGTGTGTTATATCTGGAGAAGAGGCGTTGCCCGTCGTCCGCTTGTGTATACAAATTTCACTATATAAAGCCATTTTGTAATGCAACCAACTTATCTTAATCAATTGTTGGTTTTGTGAAAAATAATTTCATCTACATAACTCACAGTCATGCATTCAAAGAAACACAAAATTCCCCCGGGTACGTCACACACCTACAACCACATTTGTGTTTTCTCCATCAATTTTTATATCTTATCGATAAGGTAGAACGCAAGCGATCACATTGTTTAGCAAAACAGCTATTGTACTGCGTTGGAGATTGCGAGGAGTGGATAAGTCAACCTTTGTCCTAATTCGCGACTGCGCTTGATGATTCCGACTACAAAAACGAGCCTCCAGCGCTGGGCGACGCATTCGCAGGGAGGCTGACGTTCCAGCGAGTCCGCCATGAGAGCGTTTCTGTTGGTAGCCCTGGCGGGGCTGTCGCTCGTCGCGGCGTTGCCGACGCACAGCCAGCCCGAGGAGTTGGACGAGGAGACCCTCCGTCAGTTTCGGGCCCGGATAGAGGAAATCCGGCAGAAGCTGAGGGCGTTAGAGGAGCTTGCCAAGCAAGTCCAACCAGATGGACGCATTGAAGAGGATGCTATTCTCACCACAGTAAGAATACATGCCGAAAATATTAAAGAGAGAAGACACTTATAGAATACAGAAAATGGAAATGTAGATTATTGAAGAGAGAACACAGTTTTCACAATTACAGAAAACATATTTCATAAATATTAAAGTTGATGAGACAAGTTTCATTCTCTCTCTCCTTTTTTGTATTTTTTTGTTTCGCGAATCATGGGGCCACACGATATGTGCATCCCAACGGGGCTGAGATTTCATTATCGGGGTAGGTGCACGTTACTTTTTCTGTAGTGGCGAATCACCATTTTAATGCTGCCTCCGATTTTATACCCTAGAGTTGTTAGCCCTGGGGGATGGAATATCATTTTTACAATGATGAATGATGAAATAGACACATACAGAGACACACACAACACAACCATGCCCGAGGCGGGACTCGAACCCTCGATCGCCTGGTTCGATAACGCTGCGGCTCTACTGCCATAGCGACCTCGTCCATCAGATAGGCATTCTCTCATTCTTTTATTAATGAAATAAAATTATATTTAGGAGAATAAATGTATATAAACTTAAAAAACAAAACTTTCCAGAACTTATATATTTCCAACATCAATACATGTATATGTGAATAAATTATTTCTACATAAATAATTTGATTTCAAACTCTATTAAACACAGATGAAAACACATTTTAAAATTATATATTTTACTGTTGAGAATATTAAAATAAATTCACAATATGCATATCATTTTAAGCATAATTTTAATTCTCTGGGAGCCCCACACTCATGGCTCCCCTACAAAACATTCTTCAGCAAGTCCTGTGTTTATCGTTTCCTCAAACATTTGACATTTATTCGATAAAGTACTTATAATAATATTGTCGAAAACATTAATTTCCCCTTACAAAAACGAAGAAAAAATATTAAAATTTATCTTATATTGAATGGTGATATAGTTCGTGGAAAAATTAAAATGATTTAGAAAGGTTGATTTTGGTTCATGTCAATATGTAATTAGTGTAGTCCGGTTGACACTCGGATTATAAAATGATTTAATGTGTGTGACCTAATTACGCATCTTATGCAAAGTAACTACAATTTGTAAAAGTGTACAAAAAACAAACGTGTAGAAACATCATCAGAATTAACAATGGCTTCATGCATGATTAAAGATCGAAAAACACATCGAAAAAGAAAACAAAACTAATGACACAATTCAAATCTTTATTTTTCAGCCGGAACTAATATCAAAATACGGTTATCCTTCGGAAACGCACGAAATCATAACCGAGGACGGATATATCCTCACTTTCCACCGTATCCCATACGGCAGGAACTCAGTGGCGAAGACCGCTAACCCCAAACCCCTGTACCTGCAACATGGCCTCATGTCGAGCTCTGACGATTGGATTATCACCGGCCCAGAGAAGGGCTTCGGTAAGTATTTCTTTTCTTTCGCTCTTCAATTCATATGTACGATAACATGTGATAGGCTGTGCCAACATACGTCGGGAGCTTCTTCTAAATGTCTCTAAAGATAGAAGCATTTCGAGTAAAATATACCTTCATTGTAAATACAAAGCAATTATCCCATTGTACTTATCGTTGTCGAAGAATGTGCTTATTCGTAAATACTTTAACTACTTGAAAGATGCGTCACAAGGTGAAAAGTGTTTTAAAAGTATTTTCACGAGTTGAAAATGTATAAATGCCATTCATTGCTTTTTTCAAATAAGTTCTTACAGCATCCGCCATGGGATATACCAATGAAACGTTGTAATTATTGCACTCCCGTTCAAAAAATTCCGACACCAGCCTTGTGTGTTACCTCTATACGAAACACTAACTGGTAATATTGGCAATTTCAAAATAGTATTTGCCATAAAAAAATTCAGGTATGGATAATGCAAGTAGAAATTAGTACAACTACGTTTTTTAAATTGTTTAGTACCAAAAACCTTCTACCACTATGTTATTCTCTAATAAGGTCATTGTCAATTAGTTCCAAAAATTCTTTGACAAAATATTGTAAAACTTTCCAGACAACTTCCTCGGATTTGCTTAACATTCTATTTTTCTCCCCTAATTTTTGAAGAGATTAAAACTCTCCATACTCAGACTAATTTGTGTACACTTCTACTTCTTATATTGCTCTATAAATCGTTTGGTAGGCGAATCAGTATAAATATTAAAAGGCGACAGTTTTGAATGTTTTTGTGAATAAGATGTTAATTAAGTTTAATATGAAAAAGTTGTTAGTCACATTCATTTGAATATGGGTATTTGCTCGCTTAAAAATGTAAGTGGGAAAATCGATCGTAACAGTATAGAAGTGCATTTACTCTGATTCATTACGCACAGTACTGCTTTTCTTAGTGTTTACTGAAGTTCAAGTTTAATAAATTCTAAGGTAATACTGTTCGTATGTGTTTGCAATTACTTTTTAAAAATAAGCTAATACGGATGAAAATGAAATGAAATCTGCCGCGCGATTCACTTGTTGCTCTTAGAGATGGCATAGTTAGTGTTTCGTGAAAGCTAATTATGGCGTACTGAAACGAAAATTGACTATACTGGGGTTTAATCAATGCCATCTACATAGATCTAGTTAATGGTTTAATTCCCGAACTATCCACTTAAATCGCAGCCCTAAAACCCGCAAAAACACGTGTTTGGAAATTTCTTAGAATCTTCTGGCTTGATCCCAAAACTAATTATCAGTACCTCACCATGAGACCGAGGCTTGTTCTTTGTCTCGACTGGTGTACAGGAAGTGGTCTAGCCGTGAGTGACGAACGTGTGGATACTCACAGTTACTCAAATACTATTTAGGGATGTATAACATTTAGAAAGTAAAATTCTACTAACTTTACCTAATATTAGCAAACAAATAGTCACTAAGATAGTAAATCAGTGAGTAAATTGAAATAATTTAATCAAAACAGGTATTAAATAATAATGCATCATTGAAATTATGTTGGTATGAATATTTAAAATATGTACTTACTTGTCACGTCCTCCAGTTTCACTGATTCTCTGAGAAAACGCTGGCATCGACCCTTGCTTTGCTTCGAACAGTATATGTGTAACCCCACATGTTTTCTTGAGCTCTAATTTTGCTAGACATCAGCCAGAGAGGATGGTTAGTTGTTTTGTAAACAATAATTTGAAACCATTCATCGTGGATGTTTGTCATCAAATGTTGTTAAATCACTCATAGTTTTCTTTATTCGGAATTCAATTATGTGAAGAGAAGACGGACTAGGGATTCATGGAGCTCACGAAAACGTACGCCGATTGAAGGTCACCTGCATATGCTACATAGCTGTTCGCTTTAACAGGCATTGCATTCCTACTTTACGTTTCACACCTTTCGCTGTCATCCTCGCTGAGTCATGTGTCTCGAGACGTAGTGGAATCTCCCACAGTATCCCCATGATGGAATCCCCCCACCCATCACGCCGATGCAGCTCTTAGGACTAACTTTAATTACTCGGACCTCCCGAAGTTTGTAAGCTCATTTCTCGGTCCAGTTACAGAAAGAAAAATGGTTTAGAGAAAGGGTTGCAGTTCTTTTAATTTATTTCTTATGTTCAGTAAATAAATTTTAAAATTTGATCTCTGATATAAGGTAGAGAAAACAATGAAGTAAATAAAAGAATAATTCTGGGTCGTAGGTGCCACATACAAAAGCACAAATATGGAAACATAACATTTATATTTTCATAAACATAACTCCTCTCAGTTGAAACAATCTATAGATTAGTTGAATAGACGTTTGGTTTTCTTTACATAAAGTTCACCATTTAAACATTTCTTACAATTTCTAGTAAGTGTTACTTCTGTTTACATAATACTTTCTTTGAAGTTTTGTCATTTCACTTTTCCCTTATTCAAGAGGAGAATTTTATTTTACGAGTGTGAATTAAAATACTCTTGTGTAATATTTTTTAAGTGTTCTTATTAAAGATTTACGATTCATCAAGCACTCAAAGTAAATGAAGAAAGGAAAACGATGATGATAATTAAGCTTACAACAATATTGCATTAATTCATTTTCTTTCTCGCAGGTTACATTTTGGCCGATGCTGGCTATGACGTGTGGATAGGAAACTCCAGAGGTAACAAATGGTCCCGCAGACATTTGACCCTAGACCCCAGTAAAAACAAATTCTGGGACTTCAGGTGAGTTAAATTAAATCTCGTAAAATGTTTCTTTTTAATTAAAAACGATAAAAATTTATATAAAAATTATTATTTTACTATCATGATTTGTATTATCTTAGAATTGATATATATTTTATCTTTCGCAATTGTCAAAATTTCTGAGGTTTTAACGAAAATCGAAACTCTCCATATTTTTAAATGCATTTTTTCAATTGGAGCAAAACAATAAAGAAAAAATGCAGCAATTTTTTAGAAAAGTTTGAAATGCATCAGGCCTGATTTTAAAACACCAGCGTTCTCGTGCGAACATTCCGCACATTGTAAAGCATTGTTTTAAATGTGGCAATTGCTCCACAATGAAACTAAATGTCACACGGCAAGACCCTGAACTGGTAGTTACGTAGGTTGAGCCCGTCTTCACCTGGTTGAGTAGAGACCCGTCAGTAAATATTGCTAAAAAGAATAGTAGACCAATAACAGACAAAAAAATAACTCGAGATTCTCATTGGGATTGGACATCAGGGCGCGTGATTGCGAGTACCGCTCAATCAAATGCACGAGAGAGCAAAATGATGCAATTCATGTGAGAATTTATGACCATAATTATTTAGCGACAAAATATTTTATTTTTTTTAATAGAACAAAAGTATGACAAAATAGTATCTTTATATATCGCATTCATTGTTGTACATTTAGCAAGTGAACAGGCGAATAGAAACAGAATGTTGACATCCCAAATACATAATATTCCAGAAGATACCGTGTGACTGATTTGTCATTTTTTTACTAACATAATTAGTTTTACCGCACACAATTTGTCACATTTAGACTTACATAGAAACACACCTAGTATACCAGTATCGTACCAGGAAGAACTCGATTTTTCGACAGTCAGTTCGCCGCAGCTCGTAAATGACTCCACGTCGGATGATTCCAGCTGGCACGAGATGGGCGTGTACGACCTGCCCGCGGCCATCGACTACATCCTGGAGGTGAGCGGGCAGGAGCAACTGCACTACGTGGGCCACTCCATGGGCACCACCATGTTCACCATCCTGGGCGCCGAGCGGCCCGAGTACAACGCCAAGATCCGCGCGGCCGCCCTCCTCGCGCCCGCCGTCCTCTTCGCGCACAAGAGCGACCCCGTCCTCGACGTCCTCGTCAAGTACACGCACCAGCTCGACGTAAGGATACCCACCCGGCCATGGGGTAACGGTTACCGCTACCGTATCAGGCTGTTATACCCAAATTCACGAGTTCAATCCCGATCGTAGCCAATCGATTTGTAAGGGCGAGAAAATCCTTTGTACGTCTTTCTTCGGACGGGAAGTAAAGCCGGCTGTCCCATGTTAGTACATATACTACATGTAAAAGATCCTCAAGCCTAAACGAAGCCTGTGAGCTAAATTCAAATGCCAGTTTCGTCACTCAATAAATACCTCCTTTCTTTGTTAGTAGATGAAAGGGCGGTATCGAAATTTGCATGTTCAGACGGAAGAGCGGGCCCGATGGCCTGAGTCTGGCCACGGAAAATAAGGCGTCAATTCAATTCACCGCGGAGACTTTAGTTTCACGCTGCTTGCGTAGTGTTGACGTAGGTTGACAACAAATTTGTGCTATAAGTCTCCGATAAGAAACTGATGAGGATAATTCTTGTTCTTTTAAATGGGAAAATACATTCCCTAACACGCTGTTCATTCAGAATTCACGTTTTAGGGGACCTTGATATTTAAAAATTGGTTTTTGGAAAATCATCTGTCTGTCAGTCCGTCTGTCCGTCCGTGCGTCTGTATGTGAATAACGCTTGCGGATAAACCGATCGTAGGATTTTCACCAAAATTGATAAATTCGCCGTTCAATCTGTTTGACGTCGCGGCTCATTCAATTTAAAACGAATATTTTGATTTTCAAAGGTACTTTACACGAAGCCCCAAGGGCATTTTCCAAATGTTCTCAAGAAGGCTCCAAATTTGTTCTTTATTTTTTTTCGTCGGATACAGCAAAGCACGTACAAAAACGGCGTAAATCCGATTTTTGTAAAATTCTCTAAATTTGTCGATAATTGCAAAAGTTGAAAATTGAATCGGTTTCAACCTAAGACAATATTGACGATTTTTCTCAATAATTGTTTTCAAAATTGGATTGTTGAATCAGATCATGCACTATTTTCAGAATATGAGTAGTTTCCGAGCACGTTTGCGTGAAGTACGAGCATTTTTCAAGATTTTTGAAAAGGGCTCCAAATATTTTCTTTAATATTTTTTTCTCGGATAACACAAGTACATTTAAAAAAAACAAAAATGGCGCGTTCTGAGTTTTGTTGAATTTTTGTAAACTGAAAGTTAACAAATATTCAAAAATAATTCAATACTATTTTTATTACCTTATAAAATAATTATTATTTGTCCAATTCCAGTTTTATAGTCTGTCACTTTGATTGAGATAATAGTACGAAACGGCAGAAGGGGGGGGGTAATTTCATTGGAAGAAATGTTTGAAATTGTTAAATTGTTTAAGCGGGTGGAAGAGTTGATAAGTTTAGTTTGTGAACGTAATGTTAAGTTATGTGGATTAAGATTTGATCAACCAGAAAGCCTTAAAGCAGGCAGGATGGGCAGGGTGATTACAACACGCCCCGAGTCATCAAGTGGATATGAAGGATCTTTGGAACTGATTCCTCTCTCTGCATGAATTCGGACTTTCCTATGACGTGTCCTGGTCGGTCTTGTGCAACAATTGAATACGCGACCATAAAATGATCAGTTGGATAGAAAAGATACAACAATACAAGTTGTGGTGAAACCCTTCTCCCATTATTTGTGCAAGCAAACGTAAAACAAAAGTAAATTTCTTTGTGAATATGAAATTTATTTTACAGAACGACAAAATATAGCTAAGCACTCTTACTTTTACAAATAATGAGAAAAGAAGTTACTGAAGAAAATTCACCTTTAAACTTATTTTTCATTAAAATCTAATCATCCGAAAGCACCTACTAGAGAACTCTCTCTTTAAGATTTGACTCGTAGATAGGGATCAATTTGTCACGCTGATTTGGATCTCGTTAATTCAATTGCCATTATCTTTTACGAATACATAATAAAAACACTTGAACTGTTTTGGTAATCAAATCAGCGTTAAAACTCTTCAATTAAAGAGCCTGATGATTTCCAAAATATTACTTTACATTTCAATTGGTTTCGAGTAGTGTAAGTGATTTCATTATGTATCACTAAATGTTAGTTTTTTAATTACAATTACTTAAGAGTTTTGCAAAAGAAAAATCTATAAGCAAGTTAAGAATATCGTAATGCAACTATGAGCAACAACGTGATCTCATCAATGTTAAGGTCATAAAAAAAAATCTTGTTTTGTTCATTTATTAATCGTGAAACGGAGTAACATATCCAGGAAGGAGAGGACAATCTACGTACGATTTCTTAAGCTAAAATCTCCATACTTTCTCTCTTTTAAAATGCGTTGTTAGATTGTGAATACAAATTGTAACACCAGTTTGTTTGTTGAGTTTTAACACTTGATCACAACAAAAAAGTTGTCGTATAATAGGAACTATTTTCATCGGCAAAAATGCTTCAGATTTGATTTCAAGATCTGACAAAATGTCCCCTCACCCCTTCGGTCTCGCAAAGAGAGATTTCGAAAACTGCCCATGTAGTAATGTTACATTTACTATCCAGAGACATAGTAAACTGCCATCATAGGGTACGCTAAGGAAATTAAGGGAAAATGGGTTTAAAAAACTGATCGATAAAGACTACGCCTTCGCATAATAATCGAGTCAACATTATTTTAGACAACAAACAATATAGAAAGTAATTGTGCCGGTTGATTCTGAGAGCAGCAATATATACGATACGAGTTCGATACGGCGTCAACTGAACCTCAGCGTTCAGTGCATTTCATATTCTATAGTTCCTATTGCGCATTGGGAGTCATCAGAACTTGTATTAGCTACTATTTTCACACGAAAAAGGGAAAGCATGGTTCTGAAGAAAATATATCAAATAGTAAAAAAACGTTTGAGAACGTGTAGTTTTAGAGTTTGCTTTGAGGTAATGCTCGGTGGAAAACATTAAAATTACAATTAAAATTGATACATTAGTGGTTGTTTTTCGTTAATTACTTTTTAAAACGTTAAATTTGTTTTAAGAGATGGAGAGTAAGTTCAAAATCAGCTTCGAAGTCTGATCCTTCGCGTTTGTGTGCTTTCAGATCCTGGCCAAACTTCTGGGCGTTCACGACGTGTTCAAGCACCACGCCATCTACACGTCGATAGGAGACAACTTCTGCAAGGACGGCGACCCCACGCAGACGCTGTGCCTGGGGGCGGCGGAGCTCATCGGCGTCAACCTCGAGCAGTTCAACGAGGTAAGGAGCTCAGTTCACGGCAATGCGCGAACCTGTGCGAACGCTTGCGGACTTGCTTCATATGTTTGTTCTTTGCAGCATGCTTTATTTTGGAGTTCTAGGCAATACACGCCTCGTTTATTTCGGAGTGAATTAAATTTTGCTTGTACTTTCTTCTCTAAATTTAGTTCCTCTGAACAGTTCTTCATCCAAAACGTCAACTTTTGCGGACTAGATGTGTAAAAACAGTACCAATTTTAGGTCTTCTCAAGAAAAAAAAATAACTTCATCTGTTTATTCTACTCTATTGCACGATATTGAAATCGTGCAATACATTGACCGCAGGTTTCTCCGTCCATCCGTCCATCTGTGAATAAAATTAGTTCGCAAACTACATACAGGACTGGATTTTTGAGGGGCATGGATATTTTTCAATTGATTTGACTCATTTAGCTTTATTTACTTTTTTATCCTATTGAAACTCTTCTCATTTTAATTTCCGCACGTCATTATGAAACATAGTAACGATTTGTCAAATATATTCTGGAATATAAAAATTTCAAATTTTTTATACAGTTTTTTTTCTCTTCGTAATGATACTTTAGGAGCATGTTGAGATCACAAAACAAAACTTGCAAATATTCATTTAAAAATCTGTCCAAAAACCATTCCAAATTTTACTGTGGCATGTTAAATGCGTTAACCAATTGGTGTCTAGAATAATTTTGTTCGCATGGCGCTCGCCCAATGTCGTCCCGTTCGCGCGCGCACATTGTTAGAGCCCTCTGGCAGCAGGTTTCTTTTATAATAATATTTTATTTTGCAATTTGTTTGGGTATAAACATTTGGCAAAATTACATACAATTTTAATAACATGAGAGGAGTTAGATCATTGACCGTACTCCTAATATTACATTTTTCAGATTAACACACACTAAATATATTTGGTAACTAAACTAAACTAAACTAACAAACTAAACATACAAAAAATATACGATGATAAGCATATCTAATAATCAAACAGAAAATTATATAAAAAATTATTGTTTTTGGATGTGTTTGCAATTTTTAGTGCTAACCAATTGTTGTGTTGCTGAATTGCACTATTAGAGCGCTCCAAAGCGCCAAAATGTATTAAGATCATTATGTAATCCATTAACTGTTTTTGTTATTAACACTTCATATTTTTACAAATTCTTAATCTTTCTTTTTATCTAACTTCATATATCCGCCATACTTACTTCATAACTTCATTTTGTGACATATTAATGCTTCAAATTCGCAAACAAAATAAATAAATTAGAGACGTGGAAACAATGTACGCAGAACAAGGAAATTCGAGTATTTTAAATACATATACAACACATCATCTATTAGGAAAGAAATAGTGGCATTCCACCCGTTTGCATGTCCCCAAAGGCCAAAACAATATTAACTCATCTGATCCTCTGCGAAGAACACTCTCGTTGGGAATTCCCAGTCATTACGAGGGGTGCCGTTACACGAGGCGATGTCCGTGCACTTTCCCGGCGCTCTTCTACGCACGAGTTGGCTCAGAGCCATCGCTGGCATCACATTTCTCACTGCAGCGACTCGAACCTGATTTTCTTAGGGTTCGAGTCCCGACAGTGGCGGATATTCGACTCTAGAGATATAGTTGGGTCGAATTCAGGCGCTGCCTAAATGAGAATGCTAGCGGCTAACTGCTCTGAGAGGTAGTTTTCCCTGTTTTATCCAATCAATACCAGGCGAATGCTGGAGAAGCACGCTAACAAAGTCATGGACAACGCGCATTCGTTTCTCATCTCTGTCCTCCCCACCTCTCTCCCTCTCTCCCTCCCCCTCTTTCTCTTCCTCTCTCTCCCTCACTCCCCCTCTCTCTTCCTCTCTCTCTCTCTCTCTCTCTCTCTCTCTCTGTGTCACACACCCACACCCACACATGCTCAGCACAATTTTTGTCGGATAGTGCAAAGTTCGCTTATAAAATGACGCAGGTTCGATTTTCGTTGATTTCGTCTCTAACTTTTCGAAAATAGCATAATTTACAAATATTGCCAATGCTTAAGTAGCACCACTGGTTGGATTCTAAAAAGATGCTAGTAATGACTTAATATGCATTAATTTTAATTATGGCATTTGTTAGATGCAATATTATGCAAAAAAAATCAATATGCATTGTGAATGAATTTCTCCAAAATATGCAAACATGGACAGTACAACAAAATCTTATGCAACCTTTTTAAATGAGTGTGTCATGAAACCCGAATTTACACAATTTGAAATGTGTAGTTAGCAAATACAAATACTCATTTGCATGGAAATCAAATATGTAATATTTAGTCACAAAAGCTTATATAAATGCTTCGTTTCTTCAGAGTACCCTTCCGGTGTTCCTCGGCCATTTCCCTTCCGGGGCAGCTGCCAAGAACTATCTTCACTACGGACAAAGCATTCACACAGGTGAGGAAGAACTGACTTCGAATAAGTAAAAACAAAGGTATTTTCCTTAAAGCTAGTTTGTGAAATAGATGATGTTCTAAATTGTACGTTTTATGTTAACTTTCACAATTTGAACAAATTAAAAGCTAAGAGGTTAAACTATACAACTTTACAAAGCCAATGTTTAACAATTTTAACCTTAGTGGCTACCTACATTCATATTATAAACTGAGATTAGTTTCGTAATAAGAGTTATTACAATACAAATGTTATACTGCCCACCGCGGCCCACTATTAATAACTTTATTTTCGTAATAAGTATTATTAGAATATAGTGTTAAAATAATCCATTGCCTATTAACTACTATCACCATCAGTCAGTTACCACGCGCTGTATGGATAGACAAACGTAAACGAAAATCGAGTTATATTTTTGCAATGTGGATAAAAGTTACTAATCTGCACGTCAAACATAAAACGTTCGTCTTACTTAACGAATTTTTTTTATTACTTCTCGGTTGAATATCCAAATTGGTCGAATGGCCAATTCGATAAATTTCTTGCGATACTTATTTCGTAAATAGCTACTAGAGATCCTGAACAAATGTCAAACATTGTTTTCAAATGCTCTACCATAAATTGTAGTTTTTCATTACTTAAATAACGAATTCTAACAATAAGAACAAAACGGAACTCAATATCATTGATCACATATTAGTTTCAAATATCAGACAATCAAATCTCTCTGTAATTTACAGGAAACACTCAATTCCTTGCACCAAAATACTATAAAATTTTACCTATCAGAAATCGATAGGTACAGTTTGTCATAAAATTCATCCAAGAGAACTCCATGTGTTGCAGGCGAATTTCGGCAATATGATCGAGGTGTAGTGCAAAATATAATCAAATATGGAAGAACGAAACCGCCAAAGTACAATCTATCCAAAGTGACTGCACCGGTCGCTGTGCACTACTCAACAAATGATGGAACAGTCATGCCCGAGGTAAGAAAAAAGTAACGCATACAGTTTCTCTGAAACATTTTTTGACAGAAAATATTTTAACGTCTAGTGATTTCCTCTCAATACACAATAAAAAAATTGCTAATCTTTCTTCTGCTTTTTTCTCATTTACGTACGTATATAAAGAGTAATATATGCAGTATAGAGAAAGTTATGAAATACTGTGGCATCTCGAGTTCAAGCTTTCAATGAAAATACACGTTTTGGAGCCCCTCATATCAAAAAAGTGTTGTTTTTTTCAAAACATCCGTCCCTCCGTTCGTGAACAACTAAACTATTTGCAATATTTCTTCCCAAAATGAACATTCCCGTGACGTACTGACTTGACTCAAAACTCTGCGATATTGAAAAACAAAATGTTTAAATTTAAACTTTGAGGCTCTTACGGTGCTTTACAGGAAACCAATGATACATTTTCAATTTTTTCTCAAAAGTGGCTCCAAATGTTTACTTTCTCTCTACCGCTTACGCAAGTTATGTAATTCTGCCTGAAAACGGCGAATTTACGGCAGAAAAACTCTTATAACAGGGCAGTGGTAACGAAAAAGTGGATAAATTCAGTTGCTAAATTTAGAAAACAAAATCCTCTAACACGTGGTGTATTAGGGGATTCTCGATTTTCTCGAAATTAGCTTCAAATATTTTCTACAATTCTTTTGTTCGGATAGTGCTAAATGTCGTGATATCAAGGTGGTGTATCTAGTGAATATCGTCGTGATATCAGTATGTGTGTGTATCTAGTGAATGTCATGATACCCATTAAACTTTTTCCAAAAGTTACATAAATTAATTTTTTAAATACCACTCACGTCGGTAATATTTACATTACGGGCATATCTTATATGTTATTGTGTTTGTGAAAAACTGATGACTTTTTCGCTGTCCGGGTGACGCTGCGTCGTTGGCTGAGAGGCCGACGCCCTGTCATATCGCAGGCTTCTTCAGGACCAACTGTCACTTGAACGTGTCATTCTTATCACTACTAGTTCCTTTAGTAATATTACATATACTCAACACACCCATCAAGGTTTAGTTACCTGTTCTGTTTTTCAAAAACATTCTTCACGAATTAGTTACTTTTATATGAAATGATCCTGAAATCTTCCTGAAATGATTTCTTTTCGACAATACTGAGGTTTTTTTTGCTGAAAGATTCGTTGTCGTAAGAATGCAGTGGATCATTAACCCTTGAACTTTTTTATCAGAGATGTTGAACTGGCAGTTTTGAATAGATATAAGTACTGCTATGTGACATTGTCTTGGTGAAGTCGGGGTTCATGAATCAAGCCTTGTTCTATAATCCATGCTTAGCAGAATTTTGAAAAAAATTCGGAGAAGAAAATGACTTCCAGTGGGTAAAAGTATATTACAGCATATCCATTTCTTGAAAATTATTTTATTCGACTGTGTAGATATTTATCTCTGTTGAAGAACATTAGGCGAAGTTCAGAAATAAACGGCAAAAGAACTGATTTTCAGATCTCTGAATAATATTTAGAGATCCATAAATCTCAAACAAAACAATTTATTTATTTATAAAATATAAATCGAAATTTATGGACAGAGAAAAATATTTTCAATTTGTTATTTTCACTATCAATTTCTTTTAAAGTTTTTGAAGCATGAAACATGTCATGCATATGCTATTCATAGAATTAAATATTTATTTTCAATAATGTTGCCTTTACTTCTGAAATGTGTATCGTGCTGTGTGGTTGCACGTAGTATTTCTTTCATCTATAAAATTGAGCATGATATTGGCACTGCCAGTTTGTAATATAGTAATAATATTCATTTATATAAAAATTCAGATAATGTCATCATTTACTTTACAGGATGCTGTTGCCCTGGCAGAACGTTTGCCAAATCTCATCGACCTCAATTTAGTGCCAAATGAGAGGTTCAACCATCTGGACTTCGTCATCGCCATCCAAGCCAAGGAACTCGTATATGATCTCGTCATCAGTCAACTAGATCAGTACTAATTCATTTACTGTCAAAAATAATAGCAAAATTAAACTGGAATGGAACTATATTATAGTTAGTACTTGTTTAAAGCTTATTCTAATTTTCAATCAATTTATTAATTTGTGACAAATAATTGAAACGAAAAATTAAATCACAGGTGGAACAAATGATAATTTTCCTCCATTTTGATTCCAAGTCCTATAAATTATCAAATCCTTCAAATATCTCAAATCTTTCGAAATCTTCGAATATTTTGATATTAACAACAAAAAGTTAGAAAATTCTCTGTTGTTAGGAAACAACCTTAAATACTGTAACAGTGAAAACAGTCGTTTTCTGAGGTATAACTGTAATTTAATCTTTATCTTGCTAAATGGAAGAGTTAGTTACGGACATTAACGCTGTGATTATTAAAAGACCGAAACCTGTACTGGAAGGCTTAGAAAAAAAAACGAGTGATGGTACAGATAGCCACTTGATGAAGTGGATTATGAAAGTGTGGAAAGCGGAGAGTGTCCTTGACTTGTTGCCCTTTTAATTCCACACAATCTGCTTTGCACGTGCGCGCTTTAACGACTCAATTCAGGCAATTTACAGTTTTCACAATTTTCATTCCATTTGCTTGTTTCTTCCCTAGATATGTGATTGACGTGACTCCCAACTAGGCCTGACAATTCAACTCACACCTTGAAGAAACTTCAGAAAAACAAGTAATATGTAAACCATATTACCAGGTAGCGTTAAGCATGGAAAATAAAAATATTTGATAAGCTATGTTTTCCAGATAATTTGTGTAACACAAAAATAACAAAAAAATCGAGTTTTAATTTTCTGATATTATCAATATTCAAAGGATTCTAGTATTATATTTATACTAATGTTCCATTTTTGAGAGAAATGAAAAGTGAACATGTAAATACATGTAGATTACTTCTACTATTAAAATCTCGAATTATATCATGTTTCAATATTGAACTGTTATCCTGATTTCTGAATTAATCTAGTTCATAATTTTGTGTTATTCATGGATACGTTTTTTAATAAAATTCCCTTAACTTTACCACAATTTCCTTCTTAATCTCATGTTAAGGATCCATGGCCAGAGTCGTGTTATCCTTTAAATTATTTTTCGCGTTCATTCCATAAAAAATATACAAGAAACTGATTAAATTGTTTGTTAAAACTTTTGTTTAAATTGTTTTATACTACTAGAAAATTAAATTTTTGTACACTAATGCCATTATATTCTTTTTTTTACTACGTCATATATTTTTCCTGAATAGTTGTACATAAAAACCCTAGCTGAACCTGACACCTTCGTGGGTACTTTCATGTTGATGTTTTTATTTGTATTATGTAAGTTTATTATAAAAATATTTAAACGCAATACAGGTTCTTGGCTCGTCTCTTGGAACGTATATACGATTACATGAAAAAATATCGACAGAAGTACTTTCATAAAAAAATAACTTTAAAGACATAATTAGGTTGAACTATGATTCTATTATTAACTTATTGATCTTACGAATCATGTATTAATATATCCCAAAATATCACGTTATAGCAGAAATATATTCGGTTCTTTACTTTACAGTAAGCGCTTTGAAACTCACAAAAAGCATATTTCATGCTAGGATTCTTTCACAACATCACCCCAGGATATGGCCGCACTCGTGCAGGTTACACAATTACTACCCTTATGTTTTACTTTATAAAGGAACATGATACGATGTATTCACCACTACAGTCGTCAAAAACTGTTATATTATTATTCGCCTGTAAAGTATTTAAAGTAACATCCTCCGAGGACAGAACTTAAAATATCTGAAAAAAACACTAGAGGAAAGTACCCAAACAAGTGCCCTCATTTTGTTTTCGAATATTTTTAAATCAAACTTTCCGCACAATTAAATCAAAATATTTGCAATGCATACCTTAGTTAGTTATAGAAATGTTATATTATATTTAAAATTATTGGCCAAGTAGTTAATGAATAAAATATTTTTGTAAACATTACATTTGGTGGATTTATAAAAAAGGTTTCCGAACGTGAGCATCCCAGAAACCTTTTAGGAAAGAGGTAAAACTAAATAGAAAAAATGCAAAATAGATTTAACTCAGTATAATATTACAAACGTATAAGTTTAACATCTTATACATACGAAATTGTCTCATATGTATTGCACATTATCTACACATTCATGTGCAACAAGTCACACACATAAGCAACTTTTTTCGCCTTCGCACATTCTACATGGGCCCAGAGTAAACGCATTAGGCACAACACATGGTCTTGCTAAAGATATCTGAAAATTTACTCTGCAGAACATGCACTCTCCATCTTCTTCGCCTGAAAAGGAAGATATCCCCGGTAGAACTTCAAATTCGGTACAGCCAGAGGATATGTCATTTGATTCCTCCCGGAAGATGGAATCTTTCTTTTGTTTTTTGTATAACTTCAGAATAAAATCCTTAAAATTCTCTCTGAAATTGCCACTTGTCTTTTTTCTTCCTGCCCTCTCGAACTGATAGGCTTCAGAGTAGGCTTTTGCTTATTTTTAGACTTCTAAGGCAAGTAAACTAAATTACATTACCCTACAACAACAGCATGTAATGTTCCCTTCAAAATTATGTAATAGAAGACTTATGCAGCAGAGAAATCAGGCAACTGAGAATAAGCACTTGAAAAAACTTTGCTTTTCAATGTTTGCACTAATGGCCGACTGACCGGTAACAAGTCAAGACGAAGTCACTACCGCGTGACTGGGCTGTGGTCTTGTAAAGAACTACTATTTACTACGTTTCCAAAATGGCAACAACCCTCTGCAGAGCTGTAAATGAAGGGGATCGCATTAGGAACGGGGCTGGGGTTTAGGCACTTTCCTCTACTACAGGGGTTTTCAGCATGCTTTGGTCCCTACAATTTTCAATATGACGAACATTCGATTCTGCCAACTTCGAAAATGTACATGAAACCAGGTTTTGGCGCTACATTCAAATATACGAAATTCGATACGTCATTAATTTTAGAACAATAAGTTTTGGCATTATATTATAATATATTACCGTACACACAGACAGTCTTTCCTGAGACAAAAGATACAATTTTGTTTCAGGTAAGACATGTGCTTCGTACTTGTGTATTTAAAACTTTATACCATACCATATTAATTTTAATTTCAAAAATATGCAGTGTAATTGCCTCTAATATTCTCCCAACTTTAAATGTAAAACGGGTAGAATCTAGAATGAGTTTTAAGACTATCAGAAACTGATCGCAACAAATCGTTTGTAAGATATTCTGTGCTTCTGATGCAAAAATGTTAAAAGAATTATTTATCGTTAATGCTTTCAGGAACACGCTGAGTGATCTTTACTACCTGCAATGACTCCTACTCATAGATATGAATAGAGATTCAAGGCCACGAGTCCTTGACCACACATCACATTGCTTTCGTTTACGACCTAGCCATGCAGAAAGTTCTACGATTTCGTGAAGAAATAAAACCTGTTTTGAAATGTCTTCCTTGTCTCCGATACTCGCAATGCAGCAAGGTCACGGGCAATTGTTGATAGCTTGAACGCTATCGTTTCGTTTACTTACCTTCACGAAGTAAAGGAAGGTGGAATACACGGCAAATATAGATTGTGCGACTCGTTAACTCACATTCCTCGTTAGTTCTATTCTATGCGGCGAGCACGCTGGTAGCAACAGGTCAGAGATGACCCATCTTCCACGCCTATCCTACAAGATTGTTCTTTCTCTCTCGAGTACCTGTTATTTCGTGATGGGATAGTGTTTAGTTCGCCACGCAATTCCAGATGTGATTTGAATTCAACATTTCGACACAAAAGTGGTCTTTAGAAAAGAGTTTATGTCATTATTTACATTTTTGAAACACAAAGCTGTTTGACGCTATTGACAACGTAGTAAATACAAAGGTATGCAATTAAAATTCTCTTATTATATTTTTAAGGATAAAATACTTTTTTTAAAATTATTGCTATATCGATTTTTTTAATGATACTTTACTTTCAAATGTAAATCTTCACACAAAGGTAGTAAACCTATCACATAAGGAAAATTGACGATAAAAACAAACTTATCAAATCTTTATTCAAGAAAACAACTTCTCTAAATGAACAATAAGTAGTTTCCTTTTTGCAATGAAATGTACACTCTGAGCTATTTCTGAATATCTGTGATTTTCTACGAAATGGAGCGGTTTTAAAGTTTGAGAGAATTTGTTTTATAAATCAAGTATAATTTATTTATTCAAACAGTGAAAGTAAAAGTTGCATTCTGACTGTTTGACCAGTCACGGCAGTATTTACAATACAATTTTAGTTAGGACTAGTGTTCTGCATCATACTTTTTTGAACGATAAAAAATGTAACTCACTATTAATTCATGGCACGACAAACTCCCGAGGTCGTCCCTCAAAGAAGTCATTATTTCCGTTCCAACTTTTCAGTTCTTTCATTAAACTCATTGAAACCAATTCCAACTGTACAGTAATTTAAAAATCCAATCAAGAAATTCAGAAAATAAATAACCCTCTAACACTCCATCACAAACACAACACTAGTCAGCAGTTTGTGCAACGCTTATCGAAAGACATTTTGCTAAGATCATCTTGGGCAATGTCCCATGACATACGCACAAAGGTCCACAACATACAACTTCATTTTTTCAGTGTTGTCATTGACAATAAAAATATTCCATTGAAATTACGCAATAAAGACCATCGTAAGGATGGAAATAGAGGATAAATATTATTTTTGTAAAACAGTTTTAGCATTTGTGTGCAGACATTGTTACTGTAATTGAAGAATCTTAAATATTTGGTTCGTATTTTAGGACAAATGCAACCATTATATGTTAAAATGTTTAACATCGCGCTGATCATCGCATGGACGAATGCAGTTGCCCTCGGAGAAGACTTATGTTCAACAATGAAACAGGATTCTGTACGTAAGTTATCAAACGTTCTGTGGCAAATATGAAAAGCTTCAAAACAAATATAAATAAGAAGT